CTGGTGCAGAAAGGTGGACTGACCACAACGCAAGCTGAGGAGAGACTCAGTGTATGATCAATTAAAGTATTATTTGTTTAATTGAGTATTTTTATGTTTGTTCTGATTTGTTTTCTTTTTTAGACCCGTTATCATATAGATTTGGATCGAGAATTTGGATTGAGAATGCTTGTCACTAATGTAATATGAACATGGCAGTATATAAAAGCTGACTAGGTTTTGTCTGTCTTTTAGGAATATTATCCAATAAACAGATTTAACCAGAAACATAATCAGTACTTAATTACCAATATAATACATAAATGTTTAATTGTGCCTTATTAGATTTTATTTTTCCATATAAGTTTAATTAAAAATACCTAATTCCAGTACAGTTATTTTGTCTGTTCATATTACATAACTAGTGTGTAATGAAGAAACTAAAAAGTTGCATAATTTTTCCCATATACAGGGAACACAAGCAGCGGATAAGAATGAGATCTTGTTTTCGGAGTTCAATATCAATTACAATAATGAATCCCCACTGCACAAAAAAGGCATGACTTTAATATGGGAAAAGGTAAGCTGCAGTTGCAAAACATTTTTTTCTTTAAACTATCATCTTAAGTGAAATTTTTAATTCTCAAATTCTTTACTTTAGGTGAATGAAACCACAACTAAACTGACCAAGCGGCCAGATAAAGGAGAGACAGAAATTAATGTAACACGGACAAGAAAGAAGGTCACAAGTCATTCCTGTGATATCATTGGAGATCAGTTCTGGGAAGAACATCCAGACATTCTGGAAAGTGAACAGTGTTGATCACATGGTTAAAAGACTGTACCAGACCAAATGCAAGTTCATTTTTCCCTTTGGTATTTAATAAAAAAAACTTTGTGTTTTATAGTTTGTCTAGTTTGGAGGAAAAGAAGCAGAATGAAGGGGGGTGTTGCCATGTTATTTTTCCCCTTAAGATTCCAAGTGGAGATAAGGAATGACACAAGGATCTTATTCTCTCCTGCAGGGATGAGCATCTGTTTCACCTCACCCCCTACTGTTTCCTCTCTGTGTGGTGATGACTTTAAAAAGTCAGTTTTTCTCCAGCCAAATTTCAGTGTCATTACATATCCTGTACAATGGGGCACATGTAATGAAATAAGAATTAAATAATTACTTTAAGAAATATTTCGGGTTAAACTTGGTCCACAGCATTTGTGGCATAATGTTGATTACAACAAAAATTATTTAGATTTGTTCCCCTTTTTCTTAAAAAAGACGAAGCAAAAATTCATAAAATAATAATAAAGTTTGGGTGAGGCCTTTATGATAGAAGTAAATGTCCAATGGCCAATTTTTGGATGATTTAAAATAAATGTGAATCTTATAATTCCATAAACGCACATAAAATTGTGCATTGTTTAAAGAGCTGTTCAAGTTGAGCTCAATCCACAGCATTTGTGGTATAATGTTGATTACCACAAAAAAAAAAACAAAAAAAATATATATATATATATATATATCAGGGCTCCAGACTGCGACCATTTTTTCTGCCGGTGCGACTGTGAGCGGTCGCACTGGCGCGACCACCGCGTTGTCCAACTCATAAGCGCTGCCATTTCTGTTACATTTGAGAAACATCAAACGAAAGCGAAACTAAACCGCGCTACGTTTCAGCTGCGCAGCGCGACGCAAACAAACTTGCCCGAGCTCAGAACAGCTTTACTCGGGAGCCAAAGTTGATTTCGCGACACTGTTACTGCACAGATGCAACAGTGCTGCGAGATCCAGTGAGAAGCGTTTGAATTCGCCGCACAATACAGTATAAATCATTATAATCCGTAATTATGTCCCCACTGCAGGGCTCCAGACTGCGACCAAATGGTCGCATTTTGCGACCATTTTTTCTGCCGCTGCGACTAATTTTTGTGAGTGGTAGCACTGGCGCGACCACCGCGTCCAACTCATAAGCGCTGCCATTTCTGTTGCATTTGAGAAACATCAAACGGCAAACGAAAGCGAAACTAAACCGCGCTACGTTTCAGCTGCGCAGCGCGACGCAAACAAACTCGAGCGAGCTCAGAACAGCTTTACTCGGGAGCCAAAGTTGATTTCGCGACACTGTTACTGCACAGATGCAACAGTGCTGCGAGATCCAGTGAGAAGCGTTTGAATTCGCCGCACAATGATAAGGTTGCTGCGAGAGTGAGAATCATTCAAATTCTGCACAGAATTCTCTGTCTTAAACAGCGCTGGCATACGTCAGGAAACCAGAAGCGGTAACGCTAACTGTAACCATGGTGTTGTGGTAGAAATAGTCGAATGCATTACATCATTCATTTCAGGGTTTGTACAACCTTTTGAGAGAGAAATTCAAGCACTTTTCAATGGCTTTCAAGCATTTCACACAACTATTTCCAGCACTTTAAAGCTAAAATGATACCGTTTTAATTTTATTTTTAATGGGATGGCCAAAATATACTTTGTGGTAAACAAACACTTATGTAAAATAAAATAAAAATACATCAAATCACAATTATATCCAGTAGACGGCAGCAGAGGAGCACTTATTGGCTTATTAGTCATTTTGAAATGATAAAATCACTATTATAAAATATCAAATCATCAAGAAATCAGATTTCGTCAGAATTTTACACTTTTTTTGTATGAAGTAAGAAAAGTCACAAAGTACCTTGAAAAACAAACTTTTCTTCAATTTGCTACTAAATCACACA